AGCACCGCCGGCCCCGGCTCACGCACCCCCGGCCCCGCACTCGCCGGGCCCACGCCCGGGGCCCGGCCCGGCCCCTGGCCAAGCACCCCCGGGCCAGCCCCTGGCCAAGCACCCCCGGTCCAGCACCGCCGGCCCCGGCCCGGCCCCCGGCCCAGCACCCAGCAGCGCCGGCCCCTCCCTATTTTCCCGGACATGTTCGGCTTTTGGGGATTTCCCCCCGGACGGGGATTTGAGGCCCAAAAAGCCGGACATGTCCGGGAAAATCCGGTCGTATGGTGACCCTACCGCAACCTGCAAAGAGACAGAGAGACAATTATACTATTTCACTCAAGTGTCATCACAAATGTTAATACTCCTTTTTTGATCTTTGAATCAACACTAGCAATAGACCAGACTTGTTTGCTGAAGTCACAAGCCCTGAGCAAACACCTCCCCTTCTACCTCTAACAATGCAGATTTGCATTTCACAGCTCTATTCATTTACAGATCTTCCTAACCAGTCCTCAAGGTTCACCCCTGGGTCAGGTCAGTCTGGGAGGTAATTAACTCTTTCTGGCCCTGTCACCTGTCAATGAGATATTATATCACACTCATAACATCACAGTGGGAGGGCCGGGGCAGAGCCAGCCTGCTCATTTGGGGGGAGGGGAATTAACTGCCTGGCCCCCGGCCCCCCAACGTCTCCTTTGTCTCCCCACAGGTATCTCATCCGGCCCGACCCCCTGACCCTGGTCTCCGCCAGCAGCCCCAGCCGGAAAGCCAGCGTCAGCCGCTCCGAGGACCTCAAGGACAGCACCCACCTGTGACCCCAGCCAGGAGACACGTGCCAACACTGTGACCCCCCGTCCCCCCTTCTCGGCAATGGACTCTGCCAGCCCCCGAGCCCAGATCTGCCCCCAGAGCACCGGGCACCTGCTGGGAGGGGCTTGGTCCTGCCGCCACCAGACCCGGTGCTGCCTCCAGTCTTTACGGCTCCCGGAGCCATGGGGGCGCCGCCCAGAGAAGACTTGGGGCCGTGCCTGTTGTGGGTCCAGTGCTTTTCCATCGGCTCTGGAAAGACCAGCCCTGTCCCCAGCGCAGGCAGACAGGCTTGCCCCGCTGTGCCCGTGCCCACTGCCCCATGCCTCCTGGCACTCCAGCTGGCTGAGATGGGCCCCGCGCCCTGCCCCATGCTTTCCAGCCCCAGAGATGGGAATCCGGCCCCCGAGGCTGGGGGCGCCCCCTGGCATGCCAAGGCCCTTAGGGCATTTCTCCTTGGCATCAGCCCATGCCCAGTCTCTCTTCCAGCTTGGATTGGGTTGTGTGCCCCTCCGGTCCCCCCAGGCAGCTCCCCACCCCCATGCTGGGACCAGGTTGGAACCAGGGAGCCGAGCTGTCCGCGCCGGGCACCCCTCCTGTTTAAGGATTGAGGCCGGGCATGGTGGGAAATGCACTGCCCCCCGCCCCCAGCCACTGGTGGAATGTAGAGCCCCTCCCCGGGCCCGGGATATGGGCCAAGGGACTTCTTAATGCCAGAGATTCCTCCGGCTCTGGTCTCACTGTGAACATGGGCTCTTAGATGTACAGATACAATAAAACTCAAGAGGATCTCTAGCTGCCTTGGAGACGCTCCATCAATGTGTGTGTGTGGGGGGGTCTGCCTCTCCCCACGTGAATCTCGCCATATTTCCTAGGATCCCCCATAAATCTCCAGCTCCCGGAGTGCTGTGATCACCGGAGACATTTGGCTTTTGTTTACCCAACAATGAGCAAACCCGTGCAGCCGTCCAGTACCAGAAGCGCCGGGCTCGGACAGAAGACGCAGCGCTCGGAGAGCTGAGCCGCCGGGCTGGGGTTGTTTAAGTCCTTGTGATTTTTCGCTCCGTTGGCTGCCGGCCAGCCTGGGGTGTTGGAAATCTGTGATTCGGTCTAAGCACCGCTCCCGACTTGTCACCTTCGCGGGATTTTAATCCTTCGGTTCGCGGGCGGGTGGAGGGGGCTCGATTTGCTGCCTGGTTCTTTCAGCTTATGACGCTGGTGTTTGGGGTGCAGCTCGGTTTGGGCTCCCCCCCGGGCCGCGCCCCTCTGCTGCCCTCAGCATCACAGGGCACCAGTTCCTGGGGCACCTCAGGCCAGGCAGCTCTCTTCCGGGGCCCATTTACCCTCCCCGTGCCCCTGGGGTGCGGGTGCTGGCGGGATGGAGGGGGAGCTCGGAGCCGGACATGGGCTGGGCCCAGCAGGACAGCCGGCCTGGAGGCTGCTGCAGGCCCAGCTCGGGGGGACAAGGGAGGTTCACGCACTCCCAGTCTGGGACAGGTCCCTCCACCCCCAGTGGGGTCCTGAACACTGGCCCCCTCACACTGCTCTGCATTAGCCCCCCCCAGGTTTAGGGGGCTCAGGCCCCGGACGGGGGGAGGTTGTGAGCAGCACTAAAGCGCTCTCAGAGCAGCCGGCCCCGGAGTGTGGGCCCCGCAGTGGGGCATGGTGGGTGGGCAAGGCTGCTGTCCACCTGGCCAGGCTGGCGCTGCTCTGGAGTTCGGGTGCAGGCGAGACGGGGTCACCCCGGGGTGGGAAAGGCAGCGGGTGGGGCCTGGGCCAGTCACTGCTCTGGCTTGGAGCAGGGCTGGGGGGTTGGTTCCTGCCTGCCTTGTTCTCTGCCACGGTCCAGTCTGGGCTCCTCACCCCGGGCACCCGCGGGGCCTGAACCCCGGCTGACAAACCTGCCCCAGCAACACCCCGGCCGAGGGCCTCTTCACACCGCTCCCTCGAACGAGGAGCCCCGGCGGGGAGAGGCCGCGGGACTGGGCTGGGCAGGGATGGCTGCGGGGCCGCAAGAACTGTGGGGCCTGGCTCGGCCGTCAGCAACTCGGCTCCAACCAGGCTGGAACCCAGGACCTGCAACCCCTGAGCAAGACTCACTGCCCCAGCTAGGGGGCGCTGGGGAGGGGGGCAGGGGCTCGGCGGGGGGTGCTGGGCTCCAGGGAGGGGGGCAGAGGCTCGGTGGGGGGTGCCGGGCTGCGGGGAGCGGGGCTGGGAGCGTGGCAGGTTCCCCTGTTGGAGCAGAGATGGGTCGAAAGGATGGAGACTCAGGACAAAGAGGTAGCGATGCCTGGTGGTTAGAGCGGGGGTAGGTGGGAGCCAGGACTCCTGGGTTCTCTCCCTGCTCTGGGAGGGAGTGTCCGGGGACTGCTACGTCCAGGTCCGTATTGTAGCCCCTGGCCTGGGGTGGGGCTGGGGGAGTCAGATTCCAGACTGAAAGGAGCAAGGGGCAGCCTGCCGGGCTCACATACCCAGCGCTGAAATGCAGCTGCCTCTGGGGTGGAGCCCAGCTCCTGTGTTGCCGTCCCTGACCTAGCCAGGGGGCCATGCCCTCCAAATGCAAATCTCCCCGGGGAAGAGCCGCCCCCGATCCCCGAGCCCTGCACTGGCTCCGACCTCCGACACTGTGGCCCTTGCCGGAGCTGGTGACGACCCAGGGAGCGGAGAGCAGCCCCAATGCTGCCTGGGGACCCCACTGGGAAGCTGAAGGGACACTGGCAATCCAAGGGGTGACGACAAGAACAGACAGGGCAGTATGGGAGGAGGATCAGGCCCAGGGCTGGTGGGGGGAGGGGGAAGGATCAGGCTCAGTGGGGGGAGGATCAGGCCCCAGGGCTGCAAGGGGGGGTAGCCCAGAGATGGACAGGTGCCCTGATCACCAACCCCCAGCACCTGGCCATGACCGGGAGGGGGGGAGGGCCCCTGGGGCAGACAATGCCCAGACCCCACACCCGGGAGGGTCCCAGATCCTGGTACCCGGGGCCAGGTGGCAGCAGGGCCTTGATGTCAGGGAAAGTGGCTGGCCCATCCCACCCTGTCGCAATAAGTACTAAAGTACAGGTGCGGTGCCCAGCCCAGCCAGCCATCCCCATCCCCTGTCCCCAAGCAGCAGGACAAGGGAGGGAAGCAGGAAGTTTGTGGGGAGGGTGCGTGCTGGACACTGTCGTCAGCCACCTCGTGCAACCCTCCCCCACACCCAGAGCGCGTGGAATAAACTGGGCCGGGAGGGGGCCGGCGCAGGAGAGAGAGACGCGAGCAGGGCTCAGACGGGTGGCACCGCACGGCTCACAGGTGAGCGGGAGATGCTGGGAGAACGGTGAAGGAAAGAGGTGGGGAGAGAGAGAGAAACGGCTAGACTGGACGGAAAGAGACAAGGAAACGGGCACGGAGGAGTGTGAAAGAAAGACAGAAGCGAGCGGTATGGAAGGAAGGAGGAACACTTCGGAAGAAAGCAGCGTAGAATGAGAAATAAGAAAAGCGGCTGGAGAGAGCGCGAAAGGTAGCTAAGGAAGGCAGCCAGCGGAACCAGCTAGAGAGGGAGGAGTACGAAAGATAGTAACAGAAATTAGAAGCAAATCTCTCTCTCACTCTCAGTCTAAAGGGGTAGGAAGAAAAGCCGCCCTGTGTCCCCCGTCCCTCCTGGGTTCGGTCCATGCTCTCTGTGCTGTGCTCCGCCCCGTGTCCCCCGTCCTCCTGGGTTCGGTCCATGCTCTCTGTGCTGTGCTCCGCCCCGTGTCCCCCGTCCTCCTGGGTTCAGTCCATGCTCTCTGTGCTGAAGCCGCCCTGTGTCCCCCGTCCCTCCTGGGTTCGGTCCATGCTCTCTGTGCTGTGCTCCGCCCCGTGTCCCCCGTCCCTCCTGGGTTCGGTCCATGCTCTCTGTGCTGTGCTCCGCCCCGTGTCCCCCGTCCCTCCTGGGTTCAGTCCATGCTCTCTGTGCTGTGCTGGCTGGTTTTAACCCTGTCCCTCCCACGCTGCTGGCTGCCCCACAAGCACCGGTGGGTCAGGGCCTTGTTGCTGCAGGGGAGGGAGGGGGCCCATGTGGATCCCCCCAAGGTGAGTCCTTGGGGCTCTGCAATTCTGAATGGGGAGGTGCTTAGAGGGAGAGTCCCGCTGTGGGGGGTCTGCAGAGACCAAGCAAGGGCTGGGGGGTCTCAGGGAGGGGGAGGGCTGGGGGCAGGACTCCGCAATGGGGTTCGAATGGCTCCCGGGGCAGGCTGGGCTCGCTGAGGGCTGGGGTGAATTGCCGACTGGCCGTTTTTCGGTACTGCTTGTGATTCCTTCCCGGCAAACGGCTCCCGGCCCCGGCCAGCTTCAAACAGGGGCTTAGTCTTGCGCCTGGTGCTGTAGTCACCGGCTGAAATCAGGGCCCCGTCATGCCAGGCGCTGCCCAGGCGCAGAGCGAGAGACCAGCCCGGCCCCAAAGATCTGGCAGTCTCACTGCACTGGGGTGCGGGGAAACCGAGGCACAGAGCATGGCAGTGACTCGACACATGGAGCCTGGGGTAGGAACTGAACTCTGATCTCCTGAGTCCCTGCCCAGCCCTTCCACCCCCACAGCCCCACATCCCCAGCTGGTACATTGGTGACATGACTCAGCGTTCAGGGGACTTGCACGGAAAACTCGAAAATCCTGCTACCGAGGCTGAAGCCTGGCTAGGAGCTTTAGCTGCCGGCCACATTCCTGCTCCCCCGATGGCCCGAGCTGGGGCTGACTCATGGGCGTAACGCTCGGGGTGACCAGATAACCAGGGTGCACAATCAGGACACTTTTTCGGGGTGTGTGTGGGGGGGTCGGGAATAGTTGCGTATAGAAGCCAAAGCCCCTAATACTGGCTGGTCCCAATCATAGCGGGACAGCCGGTCACCCTAGTAACGCTGCACTTGCCTGTCAGGGCGTCCAGGATCGGACCCGGTCTCTATCCGGCTCCCTGCGGCTGGGTGTGATGGGACTGAATGTAACTGACACGACCCCCCCATCCTGTCCTAGCAGGACTTTAACTAGCCCCAGAGACGGGGTCCCCGGCCCTTCCGGGGACGGTTCCCCAGCCAGCAGGGAGAAGCCGGGTCCCCGGCCCTTCCGGGGGACGGCTCCCCAGCCGGCAGGGAGAAGCGGGGTCCCCGGCCCTTCCGGGGGACGGTTCCCCAGCCGGCAGGGAGAAGCGGGGTCCCCGGCCCTTCCGGGGGACGGTTCCCCAGCCGGCAGGGAGAAGCGGGGTCCCCAGCCCTTCACGGAGTCGCTCGTCC